TTTTATCTAAAAAAAAGATTTAAATTTTCTTATCATCATAATTTATGGTTTTATATTGTTTTCATAATTATTCATTATACTATAAAAAAATACATCTTAATAGTTAATTAAAATATAATAATCTTGAATACTAATTTCAATATTTCTTTTTCCCTATCACCATATGTGCAACTCCCTTCTTTTTTTATTCTTCTTTTAAAGCCTACATCAAAGGTCCTTCTGATTAAGCCCTCATTTTCTGTTTTTATCTTATTAATTCACTTCTCTTCTTTTTCTCTATTTTATTCTTACTTGGACCATCTCCATGAAATATCCAACATTAATATCTAAATGCTTCTTTAGGTGTCATTAATTTTCCAGAATGATCTCTATAAACTAAATTTATTTCACCATCCTTCTACTCTTAATCTTTAAAAACTCTTTGATCTTTATTTCTCCCAACATAATCATATTTTGATGGATTCAATTCTCCCCTCTTTCTAAGTAATTCTAAAGTAGCAGTTAATCCATGACCATGTTATTCTTCTTCCAGAAATTCTATCCCATCTTCATCCTTTTTAATACCATCATTGTCTTTCTCTAATTACTCTTCTTACTTTTCCTCTTTCTCTACAAATATATCATTTTTTTAAGTTTCCTCCCTTATATTCTCCAATTCCATTTTTGATTATTATCTATTTTATACAACTATTCTTTCTGTAGGTAATCTAACATTTACAACTGAAGTAGTTCCATTTTTAGTATCTCTGATTGAATATCCAGTATTAATTCTTAAATTAATCTCTTCCATTTCTTTATCTGTCTTAACATTACTTAAGAAATCAGTTGATTATTCAATAACTTTAATTTCTTGTACTTCATTTCCTTATATTTTTACTTAAGGAATCATAAATTCATTTTATTTAGATTTCTACAATTCTTCCTCCTTTTATTTATTTTAATCCATAAGTTCTTTAATATTATCTTCTTATTTAAATATTTATTAATTCATTTTCTATCTTTATTAATTTAAAATTGATCTTTGTAATAATTCATAATCATCTTCCTCTAATAAAGATTTATCTATCTTTGATATTCGTTCTTCAGCAAAAGGATTAGATTATAATGGTTTTTGAAATTTCTTTTTAATTAATGTAGTAGGAATATTAGGTTTATAATCACTTGCCACAGTATCTATAACATTTAATGAAATCTGTTAATTTTTATTTAATTTACTTTTAATTGCTAATAAATCATTCTATTTTGGTTATTCTACAATCTATCCATCAGTAGCAATATAGAAACCTTCTTTTTCTATTTTAATTTCATCATACTTTTCTAAGATTTCCTTTTTTTCTTCACCATCGTATTTTTAACTATAATGTGATTTTTTTATTTATTCTTTTAATTTTTCATTTTTTTTAATTTAATCTTAAACTTTAATTTCATCATTTTCAAGAATATCATCTACTTCATTTAATTAATCACCATTTAATAATTATTAATCTGCTAAACAAAGTATCATTTCTCCACCTACTTATATTTCATCTTCATTTACGTCTACTTTAATTTTTTGTGACATTTTAATTTATATATATATATATTAATTAATATTAATATATTATAATAACTATGATTATTTGATATAGTTCTCTATAAATTTAAAGGAAAAATCATATTTCACCATTCATCAGTATTTTTGATGTTTCCTTCTTTTTCATCTAATGGAACTGCTAATTTAACTTCTGGGACTTTAAAAGTTTCATTTAAATTAATTTTTTCTAAATGAATATTATATTAAATTTACCATCTTCTGATAAAGAATTAAAATTAACTGGAATAACTGATTATTTCCATTTTTAATATTTATATCTTAATTCATCAAATTCAGAACAAGCTTTAATTAAATATTTTAATTAATTCTGAGTAACAGCAAATCTTTTTTCTGGTAATTTCATTTAAGGTTTCAATTCATTACTAGTACCTGTAAATAATGGAATTGCTATATCTTATTCATCTTCATCTATAATTCTATATGATTATGCATCACTGCTACTATTTTAGTCAGATAAACCTTTTTTTTTATCTTAAATTCTCTTTTTTATTAATTTAGTTTTCATTTATTTATAAAAATGAGTTTCCTCCATCATTTAATTTTATTAATAATTTGTAGATAATTGTTTACCCTCTTCTATTTATTACATAAATCGAAAAAACTTCATATAAATTACATCAGACTATATATATATTATACTAAAATAATTACAATAATAGCCTTAGATGAATTCTTTTAATCGAAAAAACTATGTTGTTTTTTTGGCTTCACTTATTATTAATATTTTTATATCAAATCCCTAAATAATAAGTTATAAATTTATACTCTTCATTTAAATTTTTATTAGATTTATGAAGATGTTATATTCTATAAAGTAATATGTGATGGAAAATCATTCTAATATTGAAAGACCAATGCATAAAAAACTTAGTTGCTACATTCTCAAATAGCAAATCTGTTATATCTTTCCTTATGTCCACTATTATTTAATTTATATAATACATGGAAATAATACATAGTTATTATATATAAGCCATAGACATTTTGCAACACTGAAAGCATGTTCACATTATAATAGAATCATTCTAATTCCTTTTAAAAAGAACTATTAATCCAAAGAGGTTGGCATTGATAATTTATGATTACAGAGATATTATAAACAAGAATTGAGGATTTCTAAGCAATTCAATAGAGTATCAGAATCAAAGAGATTTGTTTTGTTAAAGAGAATAACTATAACAATATTGAGTAAACTTGAATTATTTAAGAGTGAACACATGGCAGCTTTCATAATATCTGGATAATTTTTAAGTTCTTTGGCTTTCATTTCTAAAAGAATGGCTTTAATTAAAACATTATATCCTGGTAATTATTGATATGGAACATTCTGTTTGACTACAACTGAAATATCAATTAAATCACACCATTCTTTAAGAAAAAAGAAGAATGCTATTCCTCTTTTACCAAGTCTCTTTTACCATTCTTCTTAATTAATAATTTCCATAAGTTTATTGATATTAGCATTATATTTAGGTTGTTTAGTAAGATATTCATAAAAGTGTCTATTCCAATCAAATAAATCATTAAATTCTTTGTTGGTTATTTCATCAGTTTATTTAGTAAGTGATCTCCATTCAGGTAATTATGGATCATCAGATCTTTAAACACTCTCAATTATTTTAGTTCTAAATTCAGGAATTTTAAAATAAGCACTTGCAAAAAAATGTTCAACAAATGATCTTTCATTATCAGCCAATGATTTTTATTTCAATTTTTATAATACAATACCAAGACATTTATATAAAAATGATTAATAATTGAGACCTATTTCAGTTTTAAATTTAAGCAATTTTTCACTAGTTTTTTCTGTTTCCTCTGAAAATCCTACTTAATTTAAACTTAATTCTCCTCTATTTAAAATTAATTTAAGTAATATATAATATTCCTCTCTTATTGTTTCCTCTTATAAATCTGCAGATTCTAATAATTTTAAAGCTATTTCAATTAATAATTTCTGAGCATTAAATAGATCCTATTAAGATTTGTATTCAAAACATATGATTGACTATTTATCAGTCTATTTTAATATATTTTAGATAGTTCTAAGATAGAGAGATTGAGAATTCTTCAATTCTGATTTTTAAAATAACTAAATTTATAGTTTATATAATATTACATCTTTAGATGAACAATTTTATATTTTATATTGAACATCTAATAATTATTGACCTGCTTAACTTAATTATTAGATTTCTTTAACTGGCATCTTTCCTGAATTTACAACACTACTTCCTTATTATATACCTTTATCTGTTCTAACACCAACAATTTATTAATTTAAATATGTAGGAATAATAACTTATAGATTACAATTCAAATTGCCTTCTAATACTCCATGATTCCACAACCTTCTATTTGCTTATTAATATAAAATTTTATAAACTTTTAAATTATTCTCACATATCTAAAAGATTAATATTAAAATAATTTACTTATTCACTATTTAATGCTTAAGTAAAGATTTAATTTAAATTGAAATATGTTTCAGCTACAAGAGTATAATGAGGTTTACTCATTGCTGAAGTTGCATTTATAGTTATATTGGCCTATTCGTTATACCATAAACAAACTTAAATACTAGAGGATGATATTTCTATAAGAGGAACTTCAACTGTCATTTCTACTCCACATTATTTGTATACAATTTATTTAATAACTTATTATTTTGCTTACGCACTATTATTAATCGATTGTTAATTCTTTTAATAGGCAGGATTCAAGAATGCATCTGAGTATTCACTTTAAAAACACAAGACTGAAGTAACCATTTTGAGAGAATAATAATATTCTGAGTGTATTAACGGTTCATTCATATTAAATTCCATTAATTAAGGTACAATGCTTACTTTAATTATTTAAGCAATTTTAAAATCAAAGCTTATTTTACCTTATTATTGTTTCTTATTAATTAGGCCAGTATATTCATAATCCATATGTTAAGGTCCAGTTGCTATTAAAAACAAATTAATTTAAATAGATGCAATATTCTCATTATTTGGTGTCAACAATGTCACATTTAGATATTGCTTCTTCAATTGTTCTTCTGTTATAGACATTTAAAATGCATGAGTTTATTTAAACTAAATTTATAGGATGAAATGTTTATTTTACATATATTTTTCCATAAAGTTCTTTAGAGCATTCTGTTTCAAATTAGCCATAATCACCTATTTTCATTGATATTTTGCCAGCTGGCTATAGTACTATAATCACTAGATTAAAAATACCAGATTATCCATCTTAACTTTAATACCTGATATTTTCACATTAAAGTCTAAAGTACCTTAAGTTTGGATAGGTATAGATTCTATATCTGTCATTAGATTTTCTTTTTATTAAGACTTTCCTGCACAAATACCCATTATTATTATTAATATGTATCTAATATATTATATTTTAATATTAATCATGGGTCATCTTTAAAGTATTCAGTTAAAACATTTAAGAATTTATTTTAAGAATCCACATTTACACTTCTTTTTCTAGATTTCTCTTCTTTCTTTTTTGGTTTATCTAAATTTAAAATAATAGCTAATTCAATATTTGATGGATCATCATTTAATTTTTTACTTAATTCTTATAATTCATTATTATATTAGATCAATTAATCCTCTTTCATTTCTTAGAATTAAATCAAATATTATTAGAATGTTAATTCTTATTTTTATGATCTCAAAAAACTTTATGTAAATTCTTTACATTTCTTTCTAAATTATGATTAATTGAATAAATCAGGTATTTAATATTATTGACAATTTATTTTTATTTAAATTTAATGTAAAGTGATTAGATTGAAAACTTGATTAGCAATTTCTAATTCTTCTGGAGTAGCATCTATTAATTTTACTTAACTCAATTCAAATTACTATTTACCAAATTATTCTCTTATTTATTCAATACTCATTTATTCATTATTTAAATTCCTTTTTTCACTTCTTTTCATTGTTACATAAGCTGTCTCTAATCTTTTAATTCCATTATTTTGATTATATTTAAAAGTATAATCATAAATTCTCTTTTCTTACATATATTTCAATAGAGATATTCTATATTAATCAAAATATTTTTATTTTTCTTCTTAAGTCTTAAGCTTATAATGTTGATTAAGTAATTTAATAATATCTCTTTATTCTACTTTTTATTGTAATTCTGATTTTAATTTTTTTTATTACTCATTCAAATATAAGATAAAAGGTGATGCCACTCTAGAAGGAGGACTAGGAATTAGATATTTACCCTCTACTTGATTTCCAACTAATATATATTATTTAAGGATTTTCTTCAAGACTTTATTCATTCTATTTATAAATTAATTTTTTAAACTAATTGTATTAAAATACTCTATAGTAAACATAATAATCAATTCAAGTCTCATTAATAATTGGAGTATATCTATTTAGATCTCTTGGTTTATTTTAAAATGCAGTTAAATGTTTTCTAGTCCTTCTTGTTGTTTATTAAACTACTTTTCTTTAATTTACAAATTCAGTTGTCAAACAATTTAAACTACTAATTCTATGTAAATTATGATGATTTCCTTCATTTCTCATATAAAAGTTCTCAATTCGTTCTGATTCAAATCTAAATCTTTGTTATTTAATAGATTCAAAATCATCTAAATCCCTATGATAAAAATAATCTGTATTAAGTTTTTTGCTATTTGTATGATTTGCCTTTTCCCATAATTTCTACATTTAAAATTGTTTTAATTTCTCATCCTCTATTTTCTTTGATTCCCTCAACTTAATTATAGAATCTAATAACTTCTTTCTTTATTCTTGAGTTTCTAAATTCCGAAGAGCTTTTGATATTTAAGTAGAGTTGAAAGGATCATTAACATTTTGCATTTATTTTCGAACTTTTGATAGACATAGTTATTTTTGTTAGAAAATCAATTATTTAGAGAAATTAGGTGGAGATAAGGAATTTGGAATTTTGTACGATGATAATGAATTAGATTTCATAAAATTGATTGAAATTTTAATAATCATAATCACTGATACAATTTATTGATTCAAAAATTATAATATAAATTACAAATGTTGATGTAAAAAGTATTTAAATATATAACTAAATATTTCACAAATCTTCATTTATCATTTCCTCTTCTAACCATTATCTATCAATCATTCCTTCACTATCTATCTTAGGTCTCAAAGGATATGATGTTGATGGTCTTCTCTTTCTAGATTTACTCTTTCTACTATTCTATTAAATCAACTAAGCAAGTAAGGCATCAACATAGTCTCCTTTTAATGGAGATTTTGGAGTTTAAACCATAGATTAAGATTAACGAAGAGTACTCTTTTTTGTCCTTTCTATATTTCATAATTTACTTGTACTTGTAGTCTAATCCTTTTTTTTTGGACTTTTTGTTTTCATTGGAGATATGTTTTTAGAATAAATTTATTTTTATCCAATAGGTTTATTTTCCTTTCCAGGTCTTCTTTTAATTGGACTACATATATCATCCTCTTCTGTTATTGTTTCTAATTATGGTTTTTTACCCATTAAAATATAATCTAAAGATTTCTCTGTGACAACATAATTATTCATGCATGATACCCAAACCATATTTTCTCCTGGATATACTAAACATTAAAGCATAAATCTTTTTTTTATTGGATCTAATTAGAGTATAACTTCTTAGGTTTAAATTTTAAGTGCAACCACTTCATTAAGCTAGAATTAAACAATCTCTTCCTCTTTATTTGTAAAACTTGTAAATTCTAAATCTATTAAAGTACAGAAGTTTAGTTGAATCTCTTCTGGTTCTGGATACATAATTCTTAAATCTTTTGAAGCTCCTTCCACTCTCAATTAAATACTCATATACGTTAAAAATTAATAATTAAAAATGCAAATAATTAATAGTTCTGAAAACATTTTTTATTATTAACCTTAATTATGGACAATTCAGATTAAAACAATCCACCATTAAATTCAATCATTAATCCTAAATACTCTATTCCATTCAATAAGCCAATCTACTTCAAAATCAAAGACTTAATTGCCCATAAAGTTAATCCAATTAAACCAAAGCTCCCCCTTTTCCTTAAAAATATACATGTTACAACAAATCAAAAATTATTTGTTATAGCTGTTATTACAACTTATGTAGTACAAACCACATTAGGTAATTACAATTTTGACTTTTTTAGAAGTTATTGGTTGAGCATATATATGAATATATAATATGAAATATTATAATTTAATATATATATATTGTTTAAAGGAGATACCTACTTAAAAGTGATATCTAATTATAATAAGAATAACATCAAAAATATTAATTAGAAAAATAAATGATAATAATAATTAAAACATCAATTAGTAATCACTTCCAAAAAGTAAATGTTCATGTGAATTTTTTAATGGTTCTAAATATTATATAGAATGGGTAATAAAATATTTATAAAAATAAGATTGGAGAGATAAGACATGGATTAGGTGAATAAATTTGAAAAGATGGAGAAAAATACATTAGATTATGGAAAAATAATAAATTTAATGGTTACTGTATTTATCATAATGATTGAACTATATGTACAGTCATATAGAAGAAGTTAATCAAATATTTATTTGGTCAAAATAAGTTATACTTTACATATTGAATATAATTCTCAGATGATGAAGAATGGTAAATTGATCAGGCAAATAGAAAGGGAAATTTTATTGTGAGATTGAGAGTAAGGCTAATAACATGTAAGAGGATTTTTAGAAGGACTGATGGAAGTAAGTATGGAGGAGAATTAAAAATGAATAATAAGGAAGGGATAGGTAAATATTTGAAACTAAATGGACAAAGTTATGAGGGCAAGTTTTAAGATAATAAAATAAATTGTGTTGGAAAATTTATTTGGGGAAATAGAAGAAGTTTTGAAGGGCAATGGCTTAAAAAATAGATGAATGGGAAAGGTAAAAAAAAATGGCCAGATGGAAAAGTATATGATGGATTTTACCAAGAAGATACATTAGAAAATATTAGATATCTAAAATAATGATTTTGAATTCAAGAAAGAGAATGTAATGAACATGAAAATATTAATTTACATTACTGTAAAAAACATGGATATGGAACTTTGTGTTGGAAGAATGGAATGAAGTATGTTAGAAATATAGTTTGATAATAAATAACTAAGAAGGCAAAAAAAAATAAATGAAAAAATTAATTCACTATTTTTTCACATTATTACACCTGAATCAACTATCCGTACTAATTTCTTTGGTGCTCCATTAGTTGATGAAACTAAATGATATTAATTTATTGAAACCTTTTTCTAACTCATCTAATATACTATAATCTTCAACTATCTTTCCAAAAACTGTATGCAATCCATCTACCCATGAACAATCTGTAAAAGTAAAAAAGAATTAAGACCCTATATTGCCATTTCCATCATTAAACATTGAAATTAACCCTCTCTAATCATGTTTAAACCTTTTAGGTTCAGCTTTAAAGGTTGGTCCATATATACTGCATTAACCTGTGCCATCTTTATTTAGGATATCTCCACCAAGTGCCATAAAATTACTATAAATCTTATGAAAAGGAACGTCTCTAAAATTTAATTTCACATCTTTTCTAATTATTTGATATTATACATGGATTAGATTTTTCTCCTGTGCACAATGCTCTAAAATTTTCACAAGTTTTTGGCATTTCATCATAAAACAATTTAATTATGACTCTTTTTGGTTTATCTGTACCAATTTTTATATCCAAATATACTAATTAGACTTTTACAGCAGTTTGCTTGTTGAAACTATAAAATAATGAGGAATCAGTAAGCATTATAAATTATTGATTATAATTATATTTCAATTAAAAATTAGCTTATATTAAAAATACACAAGACTTATAAATAAATATTTGTTTGTATAATTTGATGAAGTTTGATAATTTTAATTTCATTCTTTTCTTACAATAATTTAAGTCATTGTATCTATTCCAATATCTAGAAGCTATTATGAAACATCCAAAAGTTATAACTTTTATATTGGACAAACTAAAGTGAATTTCATAGGTGTTTGTCTACTTTCATAAAAAATAAAATCATAAAGATCCTAATTTTAATAGATATTATTAATACTTCAACTGTTGCATCATAACTAAAAGTATATTACTTACTTTTTCCATCAGGCAACTAAAATAAAATAACTAAACCTTCTTCTAATTAAATACTAAATTTCTAGTAATATATTAATAATATTATTACTTATTCAATTGTCATAAGTATAATAGATCTATATTCAGCATCTAGTGGATCAATGTTAAAATTTGGATAATTTACAATTGATTATTAAAATTCAAATTAAATTCCTTATCCTTGAAATTTAGGAGTGGATTATTTTTTTTGAGGTTATTGAATCTCTTCTTCAAATTCTTCATCTGTTGATTCCTAAAAAAAATATGAAAATTTAAAATACATATTTTTCTCCTTTACTTTCTTTTAATGCTTTTTCCATTTCAACTTCATCTGATCCTCCTATATTCAATTTATAATTCTTCCTTTTGACTCTTCTATCATGAACTTATTTAATGTATTAGGCAGTAAGCACTTTTTAACGATCATTCTAATTGATATTCTATAAAGATAGATGAAATAATAAATACATCTAATTATGGTGGAGGATAAACACCTTTAACAACAAATATTTAATATCCATTCTCTTTTACTGATAATAAAAATGCTGATAAATAAAAGTCACTAATTATTTCTGGTCCTCTTTTATTCGTTGAATTTAAATTGTACCAAATATTCTCAATCTTTCTTATTGCAAACCAATGAGCTGAGGAATTACATATAAATCCACTTTCTTAACTTAATTTATATAAAAAAATAAAATACCTCAAGTCTTAATTTTAGTTAAGTTTTGAATCTACAGATTCAATTGACAAATCTCCTAATTTTTTTAAGGCTTCAGCCAAGACCTAGATTGAGAAATTACCATCTTCTGCTACATTTTATGATTTGTAGCGATGACCTGTCTTTCCTAATAATTCAATCTCTTATCTGTCTAATTCTTAAGCAATTGTAGCTAAATCAACTTCATTAAAATAGGGTCCTTATAATAGAGAGTTGATGCAATGCACACCACATAATTAATCATAGCCTTATTTTTCCCAATAGATGAGTTGTTTATTATTCATAAAATAAATAACATTAATTTATACTGTATAATCTTAATTATTATTTTATTAGAAAAATTAACCCTTAAATTCAAAGTTAATTATTATTAGTGTAATATTAATATTTAATAATAATAAATCAACTTTATTCTTTATCTCCTTTTTTAGCTTTGTCTGCTTCAGCTGCAGCCTATGCTTCTGCAGCAGCAGCTAATTTAGCTTCTTCGATAGCTTTGCCACATAATTGTATTCCAATCATAGTATAATCACCCTCTAATTGATATATATATAAATACATTAAGAAATAATGTATTCTGATTATGCCTTAGTTCTAATTCTAATGATTTCAAGATCGTTCTAATAAAATTAATATATTTTAATACATCTTAACTTCTTAATTCTCTTTAGATGCATTTTTTAGTAACATTCCATAAATCAGCAACCAAAGCTGACATGTGAACAGCTTTTTCGTAAGTAATGTTTTTTTCTGATCTTTTCAATGGAATACCTAAAATAGATGATTATTAAGTTAAAATACAATCCTAATTGAATATAACAAAACCATTAGCTCCTTCTACTGCTGATAATCCCTTAAGTACTTCATCAACATTGATATCATTGATTGGTTACTATTTGAATAATGTGAGAAGTTACCATTTCGAAAAATAAAAATTTATAAATAATAATTATATAAATAAAGTCACATAGATCTAAAAACATCGCATTATAGTAACTAAAAATAAAAGTAATAAATATTTACCTCTTTTGCAGTTGCTCTATGATGAGGATCCAAAACAAATATCTAACCTAAAAACACTTTAACATCCTTATCCTAACTATTAATAGTGTAGTCATTATTTCTGATTTTAGAGAAAAGTTCTTTCTCTGTTGAACCCTTATATGGAAAACTACCTTATAACAAACCTACAAAAAGAACTCCTAATGCCCATATATCAGTTGTTCTGCCATCATATTTCTATTTTGTCACAACTTCAGGTGACATATAGCTAGGTGTACCACAATGACAAGTAATACAATTGTATATTGTACTAAATCCAAAATCAATTAGTTTAATTTTTTTATTGTTTATAAGTATATTCTCAAGTTTGATGTCTCTATGACATATATTCTTCTCATGAATATATACTAATATCTTTAATAATTGATGAATGATATTGAATGCATAATCCTTTGATAATGCTCTATGTTATTTAACCAAAGTAAAGAGACTCTCATTTCCACAATACTCCAATACTAAATTTATTGTACTTCCACAATGATAAACATCCAATAATTTAACAATCTATTCATGATTAAGTGCTTTCAATGCACTGATCTCTTTTACGAGATTATTCAGTCGCTCTCCTTTTAAGAATAACTTTTCATATACTTTTATTGCTACTTTAAACCCTTATTTATTAGTTCCAAGTCTTACTGTAGCATAGCTTCCCTTACCTATTGATTAACCAATTGAGTAAGTAGTCCCATCACATGTTGGAGGTATTAATTTTAACAAATTATCATTCATCAAATTTTCAATAGTATTAACATATGTTCTTAATCTGATTTTATGTGGTCCATCTACTTTTGTAGTCAAAGGTTCTCTTGAACTTATGTGTTAATCCATTTGTAATGGCTACAATAATTTTGGTGTTGTTTTCCTAAACAGTTTACGAGTCTGTTTTGGTGTTTCAGAAGTATGATGATTCTCTTTATTATCCAAAGATTTCAGCTTAGGTCTGCGTTATTGCATATGTTCGTTAAAAATTTATATATAGGTTTATTAATTTATTTGGCGCAATTGATCTCTAAATTCTCTATTCTTCATTCATCATTATTCACAATTACTTTGAAACTAATGTCACATCTAAAAAGTATAAGAAATGCAATCAGTAAGATTTCTTAACTAACCTTATTAATAATAAATTAATGTCAAAAGAACAAAATAAATTCAAGCATATTCTCCTTGTACCCAACATAGTATCAGATCAAGCATTCTTACAAAGACATAAGACTTTCTAAACTTATGTAAAAAAGCACATTCAGATCTTTATTATCTGTAACTGAAGAAAATTGGAGGATTGAGAAAATCTATTGCTGAAAAGGCTGATTATGGTTAAGTTTTACAATAGATTAAAAGTAACAGACTTTAAAATGATTATATGAATCAATAGAAGAAGAACCAAGGGTTTATGTACAATAATTAACTATGGTCAGATAAATACTATAATCAAATCTATCAAATGACTAGATTGTCTCAACTCTCAGAAGTTCTTAGTAAACAAAAAACTAAAGGTAGAGATTAATTAATAAAGGATTTCGAAATCTATTTTAATAAACATGTTCATCCTATTAATGATGAATTTACTGAAGTTTAAAAGGTTCTCCCTATTTCAACTTGTACTACTAAGTGTAGTTCAAGAATCAATTCCTAAAAATTCTTATTAGCTACTGAAAGACGATTAAATTCTAAATAAGACACTCAAGATTAAGACATTAATAAGATCTAATCTTTATAAACTTCATTTCATAAATCAGTTAATAACAAAATTATAAACCTCTTAGATGAAGCTAACAATTTACATAACTAAAATTTGGAAACTATTAAGTATGTTTTATTTAAGATCTTTTAATTAGAAAAACCAGACTATTTTAAACTGAATAATCTTCCTCTCGAAAAATTATGTATTCTCAGATCTAAAGAAGAAATGAACATATCAACATTCAAATTTCAATGAGAAATAAATAAATACATTTTAAAAATAAATTTGTATAAGAAAGATTTTAGAAGGAAATAGAAAAATTATCTGCTTAGAACCTTTGAGATTTATTTATAATCATATTCTGATTAATCCTTATCCCTATATAATTGTGATTTGTTTATAGATAGGTTCCTTGTATTATTCAAATGATAGCTGCCTGGTCAATGACTCTGTTTGATCATCTGTTCTCTTACATTAGGATTTGTACAAATGAAATGAAGAAAGGTGGTTTATTTGATGATCTTTTGATTTTTGAAACAAATTCAACCTCTTTAGTATCTACTATTTCACTTTCTTGATCAATTTTTTGATTCTTGACAATACACTAGACAATGGACTGAATGGAAAATTTCTTTTGATTGTTGATTTTCTTACTAATATGATTTAGTAAAGACTGTTAAGTATCTAAGGCCCTTTAGGAATCTCTAAAATTAGAGAACTAGATAATCTTTTTAACAAGTCATGAACCTTTAAATAAATAGAAGCACGTACTTATGAAATTGTATTCTGACTTAATTTAGACTCGATTAACTAACATAAAAGCTTCTAGAACTCCAAGTCAATCTAACTGATTTTTTGATTCAAGCTTTAGTTCTCTCCACTCTAATCAGTTATTTAATCCTTAAGTGAATCACTCTTTAAATTATTTAAATGTTCTGTGCTTTCCATCATCATTTCCATATCAATAGTAGTGTCACCTTTGGCTTGCATAATAATATAAATATTATTTAATCAACTTCAAATAGAAGCTATTAGAACTTCCTTAACAATAAATAAGTAATTATCTATAATTAAAAAATACATACTTATTAGTATATTAAAATAATATGTAAGTTCTCAGTAAATTTAATTCAATTTTGACAAATTAAAAGCGATTACATCATTTTGAGGTCATATGAATTTTTATTCTCACATTCATTTCCCATTATAATATTACATAAATCATCAATCCCAAAATGATTAAAATTCAATTTATAATAATAATTTTTATTCTTTATAAGAGAAATAAATTAAATTATTGAAATATTTAGTATCACTAAATGTAATAGATATTATTTGAATCTAAATTTCTTTAATATATATATTAAATTTAAAGGATTAAATTAGATTAATTTCTATAATTTTACTCTTTAGTAAATTCAGAATAAAATTAAAATAGATAATTAAATATTTTAAAGATCTCTTTAATTCTTCAATTCCCTTTTAGAATATAAATATAAAATAAAATTATAAATATATTTTTGTATTAGGTGACCATTTAAAAAAGTAATCTCTTTATTTCTTAATAAATAATATCATTTCAAAATGATTATCTCAAAAATAATTATGATATTATCTTGATATACTAATAAATAATCATTTAAGTATATATTTGAATTTGTATTAATATATATAGGGTTTATGATTATTTTTTGTTTATCAAATATATTGATCATTATTAATTATTAAACTATTCGGTTAAAAAAAATGAATGATGAATCACCTATTAGATCAAAAAGCATTGATATCAACCTCACTAAAATGCTTGATAGAATGAAAAATAATTCATTTCATATGTAAAAAGTAAGTGTTGGTGATTTAATCAATAAAAGTCAAACTTAAGTAATTGCTAAACCAATAAGGTAATCAATGACTCCTACACTTGAGGAAAAAGAGAATAAAGAACTTACATTCAAACCACAGATTAATGTATTATTATCTTTTAATAAGAAATATCCCAATTATTTGAAGCAAACATCATTTTTAGAAAGGAATGAATAATGGCAAAAAAATAAATTATAAAAATAATAAGAAACCAGTAAAGCTTATTTAGAAGAGAAAGAAAAAATTATAAATAAAGAGTGCTCATTTAAACCAAAAATAAAACCTCATTTATCTGCAAGAATTCCTAGATAATAAAAATAGCAACCACAATCAAATACCGTCATTATTAAATAATAAAATCCAATATCGGGTATTTCAATGTAGGCTGTATAATATGAACTAAGAAAGTAGTTACATGGACTATAATTATGAGCATATTTTAATTAATTATAATATATTTTCATTTTATTGATTATGAGTGAATAAACAATCCAAGAAACAATTTATCAAGATATTTCTACAATGCAAATGTATATTGAATCAGTTTCAATTAATATGGAATCATTAATTGAGACATATTATGAATACCTTTAATAAAGAGATGGAGATGACTAAGAAAGTTATAATCTATTAAGTGATTTTACATAAAAGACACTTAATAATTTAGAAGTCTTGTAAAATAGTTGGAATTTAATTAAAGAAAAATTGAAGGGTGAATAAGAATAACCTCCATTTAATAACTCATTCTAAATATATTTTGATAATCAGATTTTAGGAGCTATTAAATCATAAGTAGTGAATACAATATATCTTAGGTAGATAATATAGTTGAAACAATCAATAGACATGCTCCTAAATATGAAATTTAAGGAATAGTTTAAATTAATACCTAACAAAGTAGTTCTGAATTAATGGAGATAGAAGAAGGTGATACTTGATCTTTTAAAAATAATATATTAAATGCAATTTCTATTAGTGTTAATATTAGTCAATTATACTATTCATCAATACAAATTAATTTTATCATTCTAAAAAAAATTCGAACCTGAAATATATAGAGAAAATATATTATTATTAAATTTTGATTATTTTAAAATCCAATTTAAAAGAGAATAATTAAGTGAATTCCTTAAAAATATTTAATTCTTCTTAGAAATTCTCAATTTTTAAAGATTTATTATTATTATTAATATTTTTTATACTATTATTTTCACTTTTTTTTATATTTATTCTTTATTTATTAAAGTATAACTTTTCAATTATTGATATCGAAATGTTCATTATATTAACATTATTTAGAATGTAAACTTATAATTAAACCTAAGAAAGTGATTTTTAAAATAAAATAAGAAGTTTTTGTGAGCATTATAAAATTAAATAATTCATTTTTTCTCTTTTTCCAAACATAATAATAAGTCTTTATATAAGTAGTTAATTGCATATTTTATTTATTCTTCATCAGATTCTCTATCATCATCAGATTTCTTAATTTATTTTAAAGTACTTACATGTTTTTATAGGATTTATTGATATTCATTAGGAATATTTAAATCTTAATCATCATAGCAGATAAATTACCTTTAAGATTTATGTTTTTTCAAATTAATCGTTGTCTTTTAGTTATTATCATTAATACTTATTTAGGCTTCTTATGTATTGGTCCTCTTCTTTTTATTGGAGTTTAAAATGCACTAGGAAATGGGTATTCACTTATAGATACATTCTATTATATTGAGAATAAATAAATAATATAAAGGAAGAACGTATTTAAGAGAATTTTGTTGTAAATACCTCTTAACAAGTGACAGATAAGTCTTCTCTTTACATTTGTTTATTAGAATTCCTAGTTTTCATTTTATTAAATATTTTAATCTGTAGATCACTATTATAGTTAGCACAACAATCATATTAATAAATCAAAATTAATAATTAATTTTTTATTTCTTTCTAAAAAATATCCTTTTTCATTTTTCAATTAACTAATTTATTTTGAACATTGAACTAATACATACTCATTATAATATTTAATTTAAGTAAATTTCTCAATTATCATAATTTTATTAGATTAATTAGATGGAAATATATTATTTTATTTCCATTATATTAATTTAATTAAATATTAAGATATCAAATACTACTCAACTATTAATTTAATGAAATTCTACAATAAACAAATTATTAATTATTTTTTAATTATATGAAGTGATAATATAAATATAATATAAATATACTCTTCTTCTTTTGAAATAAACAAATAACAAAAATTTATTTATACACTCTCTCTCTATTCAAAAACAATGATAATAATTATAATTGTATTATAATGTAAATGATTCTCTGTAATTCAAGTAGTTTTTAAATTTTTGTTAGAATTATATTATAACAATATAAAATGTAATTTTCATGAATCAATTGATTTTAAGTTGTGATAATTCTTTTATTTAACTATTAATTGGGAATGGTAATATACATGACTAATATATTAATTTATTATTATATAAAATAATGCTTAATTAAAAGAGAGAAATTTTCAGAATTAATATTAGACAATAAAAGCATTAAGAAATTTTTCAATAGAAAAGAATTCTCTCTCAATAAAAAGAACAAGAATATTCATTTTAATAGTTGATAGATGCAATGGATAAAGCTAAAATTATTACTTTAAGAAATTTAGATGAATTAAATGGTTATTTATAATACTTTACTTAAAAAAAGTTAACAATTGAACAAATTTTATTGATTGAAAGTAATGCTAATAGTTTAATGCCAATTTTAACAAATCATATAGTATATAATGTAAATGATTTAACAAAAGAAATATTAACACTTTTAGTTAATCTAACCCAATTTTCAGAAAAGATTTCCATCAATTTGTTAAAATATAGCTGTTCTGACTGTAATATAATTCAAATATTATCAAGTTTAATTTTAAATAGGATAGAAGTAATTGAAACTCTAAATTTGTTGATGAATTTATGGTCAAATTCTAACAGTCATTAAATATATGATTAAAATCTAATATAAACAATTGATGCATTTCTAGATATTTGTATTTCTATAAAAGATAATATGAAAATTCTATTAATTTCAAAATGTTTAAAGAATTACCTTCAAAATATAAGTGATGAAAATATTTTTGAATATGAATATTTAATTAATATAGTAAGAAAACTACTAAATTATGGAATTTAAGAGACTTCTGATTTTATAGATATTTAAATAGAAGCATATTGCTCAATTGTTTAAGTTTTTAATCATAATTTTATAATTCAAGATTTAAATATGATTTTAAATCTCTTAGATTATTCTATGAAGAAAACAGAATTAATAGAAATTGTTACTAGAATATTTTCATATTTTAGTATTAATGAACCTGATAGTTTTTATGAGAAATTGATAATATCTGTAATTTACTTCAGTAAGCACATTATTAAATCTTCTCTTAATGAACAAATACCATGTATATTAAATTTATGTAGTATAATTTTTCATTAATAATGTGAAAAGAATTATAATATTTTGTGGCCTTTTTATAATGATAATGTTATCATAATGGAAATCATAAGACTTTAAGAAGATTGTTAACCAAGAAAAATAAGAGAAGCCTCGATAAGATGTATTAAAATATTAATTGAAAATTCAAATGAAAATTAAATTTAGCTATTACTTTTTAATAAAATACATCTAAAATTGATTGATTTGCTTAATGATTTTTCACTTAATTCAAGCTCAATACTATTTACTTTAATTTCTTTAAATAATCTAATAAAAATATAAAGAAATAAATGTTCTGAATTATTAGAACTCTAAAATTTAATATTATTAACAAAATCTAAAAATAAGGATATTTAAAAATTAACTTATGAAATAATATAATAAGTGGAAGAAATTAATCATAATTTGATGAGTAATATATTACTATGAATTATATAAAAATAAATCATTTTTGTTCTTCTTGAAAATATTTAACCATAATTTTAGCAGTAGTTTCATCATCCTCTAAATGATAAGGATAACCTAATTTCATTTATCCAGAATCTGTTTTTTTTTATTTATATTAATCCATGAATCTGGATCTGGTTCCTCCTTATGAAGCTAAGGATTCACGACTAAAAGGATTATTTGAGTGATGACTTTAAATTTAAACTTAAGAAACTTCTTAAATTTAAGTTAATTTCTATTTAGGTATAAATAAATCTGCAGTTAACATTTATTAAGTTGGTTAATCATCTTAAGAAGGAAATTAGTTTTATACTATGACAGGTTAATGGGGAGGTTATTTAGTTATAACTTTTTAATTTTAATAATTTATGGATTGTCTGAAAAGTTTATTTGGTTATTATGGTCTCAAATTGTGTAATGAATGACCTTTATAACTAAAATATAATTATTTTATTTACTTGTTACTATGTTAATGTGGTGTAATATGATCAATACTTTTAGTTTATAATAGTGTAGTTTTATAATGTTCAATTTATTTATTGGTTGAATATTCATCATAATTTTATTACATATTTAAAATTTTATCTTATTTCATAGTTCTTAGAGATCTAGATATATGCATAGTAGTTCCAATTTGATCTTCTTTAACAGTAGAAATAAAATCACTTCTTTTATGCTATGTTATAATTAATAGTAAAATACTTCTTTTTCTTTGAATCTCTATCTTGAAAGATCTCCAACTACTTCATAACCATCAATATATTAATTATTTTGATTATTGAGATTAATAGGATGTTGCTCCCAAGGAGGATCACTTCTATGACCATCATATAAACATGGATAAATATTAAAAGTATGATTATCTAACCATTTATCTTTTTGTTCATCTTTCCAACTTGGTCTAATTAACATTTTTAAGTCTTTATTCTTGTAAATTATCTTATATATAATAATTACTTAAACATCTAATTGTTCACTAACCTTTTTTATTTCTTAATTTACTCTTTCAACTTCAGTTCTCTAACTTAAACCAAATCTCATTGGTTCACTTTGCTTTGATAAATCTTTTGGTTTCAACCATTTCTCATGATTTTTAGTTGGAAGGTTTGGATCAAATTCACCAGTGGCTAAATGAGCAGATCTAAATTCCTATTATGCAGTTTGAGCTCTATTTTTAGCTATTTAGAATCTATCATATTTATAAATAATAAATTACGTTTTCAGATAGATTCCTCCCATCTTTTCCATCTCCTTGTCTTTTTCTCTATCTCTGAATGAATGCTTGCTAGTTGGTAATAGTGGATATGACCCTTTCTTAAGACTATCTACATATTATTTAGACATCATTGTTTCTTAAAATGTCTCAATTCTTTATTAAGCTCTAGCTTTCAATTAAACAGATTATATATTGCGTTTTTAATCTGATTACTCTTTCATTTACTATCTTCATTTATTATTTTATTATACTTATCTTATTCCTCTTTTTCTTTTTACAGTTACTACTTTTACTTAAAGAAGTTATTAAGTGACATTAATACTATATAATTATATTTTTATATTTAATCAAATTTTTACAATTATTTGAAATAATATATGTTAAAACCTTTAATTCTCAATCTCTATTATTATTCCTATATTTTACAATTATTATTAGAATTATTCAAAATTAACACTAAACCTCCAAATTTAATTTTATGATTTAACTAAACTTATATTTCTGTTATTAATTTTTTTTCAGTAATATTTAAATATTTTGGTGACAATGAGAACATCCTTTATTATTATCTTGTTGATAGCATTAGCAACCTCAAAGAGAGTTGAGATTCTAAGCAAAGTTTAAAAAAACTAAGTTCATGTAAAACAATATTTTATATCATATAAAAGAAGGAATAAAATGAAAAATTATCTTATAAAACCTCTTTATTGACACCAGAAGAATAAAAAAAGGCTGAAGAAGCCAAAAAAGCTGAAGAAGCTAAAAAGGCTGAAGAGGCTAAAAAGGCAGAAGAAGCTAAAAAAGCATAAGAAGCTAAGAAAGCAGAAGAAGCAAAAAAGGCAGAAGAAGCAAAAAAAGCAGAGGAAGCTAAAAAGCCTGAAGAGGGTAAAAAAGCTGTAGATGCAAAATCTAAGGAAGAAGAATAAAAAAAAAAAGAAGAATAAGAAAAAAAAGAAAAAAAAGAAAAAGGAGAAAAAAATTAGAACTTTGGCAATGGATAAGATGATGAATAAGAAAGAAATAAAAAGGCTGAGTATTAAGAGTGTTTAAAAGATGAATGTGCATAATATCTTAAAGATTGCAATGAAGATTGTGTAGACAAATTGATAGGTTGTAAATAAAAAGCAATCTATGAGGGACTTGATGCTGTAAAAATTTTCTAATAATTTTAGTATAATCAATGTGTTAAAAACAATGAAAAGGCAAATTCTTTGATAAAATGCATTCATATTAATTGTTAAGAATGAATTATCATAAAATTTTACATTTAAAATATTATAAAAATTTAATTGATTGGAATATCATTTAAATTCCATATTTATATTTAGAATGATATAATTAATTGTAAATTATTATTAAATAATCTTCAGATGATATAAATATTAAAAATAAGAAGAAAATATAATTATAATAATTTAAGATAATAATGAAATTATTGTATAATTATAAGATCATTAACTTACTAATCCAGCTGGCATAGAGCTTGTGATTGTTGCCAAGGGCTAGAAACCAAGTTCCTCAGGTGGAATACCAAATTCAACTAATTTTGCCTCATATACTCTTATTGAATCATTATATGCTTTAGTAGCATGATGAATTGAATATCTAAGATTCTTGATTAATTAATTTTTAGCTCTAAAAATAATAATAATATTGAATACTCAATAGATTCTTTGATTTTAATAGTTAATTATTGATACATTTATGGATCCATATTGGTTCTCTCTACAATAGTCTTTAATTAAACTTCCTAAAAATATTTTATATATAATAGCAACCTTCTCTTCTAATCCATCTTACATATTTTATAATTGTTAACTTAAGACATTATTTTACAAATCTGTATGTTTTTTAACTTCCATTGCAATTCTTTCAAATTTTTCTTCTAATTCTTATTTTTCCCTTAATAATTTATCATACTTAAAATTTAAGTCATTACTATTATGTTTTAATTCTGCATATTTCTCTGTTAAAGTAGTATTTTTTGATTGTAAATTTTACAAAGACATTTTGTGCTAAAATAATATTTGTAAATATTACCTTTGAAAATTATTTTAGAGCATTTTTTAAAATATCTCTTTCTTCTGTTGCTTATTTCAAGGGGATTCTAATATTATTATTTGCAGCCTTCATATCAGCAATGATTTTGCTATTTTTTTATAATTTAGCATTAATGCTAGCTATTTCTTCTTTTTAATTTTTGATAAGTTCTAAATTCTCTCTAGTGATAGTATTGTAATATTATTTAAGTTCAGCAAATGCTGTTTCATGATTATTAATCAATTCATTAATATGAAGATTTTTTCTTTCTTCTAGTTCATGGATTTCTACTTTAAGTCTAAGTTCTAATTCCTCTTTTAATTTTTAAAGTCTCATTTTATATTTCTCTTCCATATTTTTTAAAGTTTCATCAAAAACTTATTTTGATTTATCAAGAGTTTTCTTATTATTCTTTTCTTCCTTTTCAATTGCATGAATATATGAATTTTCATATTCTTCCTATAATTTTTTTAAATGTGTTTTTTATCTTTTTTATTCATCACTTCTCTTAGAAAAATGATCATTTTCCAAATTATGTGCTTCCTTTCCATCTTTTTCTATTTCATCATTTGCTTTTTCTTATTCATACTCAAGATGTTTAACCTATCCTTATTGATAGTTATACTTTTTATAAATAGCTTTTTAATTGGATTCTATGAGTTTCCTCCAATTATTCAGCTTCAGTTTCTTTATTAACGATTTTAATATTTAACTCTTAAATTTCTGATAAGCAATTTGAGAAAAAATTTTGAACCATATCCCGATCCATTTGGATATAATTTCTCTTTTACTTCAATTCAGTCAACTTATCTCTAAATATATTTAAATTCTATGTAAGCTCTTAAGCAGTCATCTTAGTAAATTCATCTTCTGGTTCTTAGGGTGCTTTCTTTGGCTTTGGCTTAGGAGGCATTAAGAATAATTAAACAAATATAATAATTAAGAAAATGTTTTGTATATTTTTAAATGAGAAGTAAAATGATAAAACAAATATTTAATATTTTATCAAATGAGAGCAAAGAGCTATCTATTGATTATTATACTATTTTACAGACCTTTAAATATATAATTAAATAATTATCTATAAAAATTAGAAAAATCAATAAACTAATAAATTTCATCTTAATAGGTAATAAAATTTAAATTATACTCGTCCAGATTAATTCTAATTATCTTTTTCAGATTAATTATTACAAAGAATAAAAGATTTTTAATTGTTTTATCAAAAAAAGAAGAATAATATAATAAAGTATTAATTTCTTTTGCTTAATTTAAACTGTTGATACAAATAGCTAAATAATATAATGGTTGTGGTTATTTTATTATTTAGATTAGTCACAAATTAAAAATTTAAAAGATAATTTTCTTTTAATAAAGAAATTGAAGTACTATTCATTCAAAATAACAAAAGTTTTATCAGATATCTACTCTATTCTCATGTTGCTCTCATCGGATTTGCTTTTTAAACATTAGAATTATGAATTAGTAGATATGATTGTTCTTTATTTATCTATACTCATTAATGAAGTAATGATATTTTAAGTTAAATCTGTAATTGTTTGTAATATATTTTCTTTACATATATTTCCACTGTATATCTATAGTTGATTAAGAGATATAGGAATGTGAAATAAATGATTTTAGTGAAGATTTGAGAAAAGAAATTTATTCTATGATCAAAAGTAATATTGATGTTTCAAATTCATATAAATTCTATTTATATAATGTTAAATTTTACTTAAAAGTTAAAACTTATATTATTTATTTTTCTTGTAATTTTGATTGATCTTATTTTTATCTATTTTATTTTCTATTGATGCTAACTTGTTTAATAGTAATAATTTAACTTTTCTCAATCATTTATGCTTATCTTTGATCAGTTTTCAAAGTAAAATCATTATAGAACTTATTAAAAAAAATATTTTAATTTATAAATTATAATAAGGAATAGTATAAATCATTTATCATAATAATTATTAAACTTAAAAAATAAATAATTTTTATATTTACATATATATGATTCCAACATGCTCTAATGCATATGATTACAACAATTTCAAATCTAATAATGGGTATCCATAAATATAAACACATCATATTTCTCCTATAAAGAATATATTGGCACCAAGTAGGTAGGAAATATTAATAGATATTCTATAAAGCAAATTTAATGGATTTATTAAAGAAGTCGAATTAGCTAAATAAAAGATTATAAAGGTTATAAAAGATTGTTCAGAAAATAACATATTTACTATATAAGATAAACCAATTAATTTTGATGATTATATGAATTTCATAGAAAGCAACACTAAGAATTATCTAAATGAAATTAAAAACCATCATAAACTTACAATAAATTTGATAACATAAGAAAGTTCAGAAATAACGCATTAATCATCTTCATTTGATATGTAACAAATGTGTGATAAATGCTAAGTTATGGTTGAGAAAGATTTAATATAGTTGGATTGCTTTCATTGCTATCATTAAAAATGTGTAGGAGATTACATTAAGATATAAATTAGTAATAATTGCAAAACCTTAAGATGCCTAAATTGTTAATAAAAAATTAAAACTTCAATACTAAGAAAATTTGTTCCCTTTTAGTTAATAGATAAAATGTTTAAGGAATAATTGAAATCTATAAAAAACAGTTTCTTACCTAATCAAATTTTCAGTTGTAAAAAGCCTGGATGTAATTACTTTTGTATTCGAAATCATGGTGTGAAAGGATTAATTAGATGTCAGATTTGTGAAAGCCTTATAAATAACTGAATATATATATATATAACTAAATAATATCAAGCATTTGTTAATTCAACAACTAATTCACTTCTTCTATCTATTAAGACGTTAATATCCAAAACATTAGCAGCCCTATAATTGAATTATAGCCTTTGTTTATAATAAAGGATATAATAAATAGCTATTGGAGATATCATCAACGTTAATACTTTCATTATAAATATTACAAATATCTAATTATTAAGATTAAATTCTTACACTAGTAATAGATGAGGCTTCATAATATGATTTACAATCAGCAATTGTATATGCACTCATATTAGCCCAATAATCCCATCCAAATTATATTAAGCCAGATAACAAATCACAACCCAAAAATATTTTAATTTCTAAAGCTTGCTCTTCCATTTTATTTTAATCAGTAGGCTTTAATTCTTGTTTAGATATTTATAATTAATCCAAGGCATAAAATCCAAAACCGCTAGCCAATAAAGTTAAAATGACTGTAGTTCCAGATAAATAAACCAAATCCATTTTCAAGCAATAATAACTTAATATTTATCTAATAAATTACTCATATTCTTCATTTGATATAATAGCAGTCCAAAACCATTCTATAAATACAAATCCACTTAAGACTTTTAAAAAGACTTCTAATTTATCTAAAAATTCTTTTTCAAATCCAATTTCTGCTAACAAAGAACATAATAAAATTTCATTCAAAATTCTTAGACATCTAATACTTGAAATTACAAAATCAGATCCTAAAGTTTTATTAATAATTTACCCCAAAATATAAAATAGGCGCTAAGCAATATTAATTAACTCATAGATATGCCATAAATAATTTTATTCAATTTCGATAACAATTTATTACGATCTCTAAATATTATTCGGAATCCATTTATAGCCATGATTGAAGCTGTAGTTGAAATGGCCACTTCTAGAAAAGCTTCGATGCAGTTTGCACCATCACATTAAAATAATGTTGCCATTTTATTTTTATTTGTTTTATAATTCAATTATTATAGAACTAAGTTATTTCAAAATTCAAATTATTTGACTTCTACATAATATGGATAAAACTAGTAATTACAACTTTAGATATAAGTTCATAAATTATAGGTTATAGTTTTAAGTATGTTAAGACAGTTCAAGAATTTTAGATGTTATGAGTAGATAAATTAAATAGTAAACTAATTTTGCAATGAGATTGAATTTTGAAATATTATAAAGTATTGGAGTTATAATTAATCTACTCTTTTTTTGCCAATTAATTGAAAATAAAACTTATTTAAGTGACATTCTATAATTGAATAATTGCAGTATTTTTGTAATATTTAATTTCGCATTTTATCTTATATGCTTTTAAATAGCTATTTCAAATAATAATATTTAGAATTTAGCTTAACTCAATATTGAAATTTTTATTAAAAAAATTATTAGGAAAGGTTAAACAAAAATTATTGAAATATTTAGATGAGATGATTATGATTTATACTTTATAAGCTCTATTTGAAGGGTTGGACAAATGAAAGATTAAAGTAATATTTGATTATTTATTTGTCTTAATTTTTAATTATATTCTAAATATTATCAATAAAAAATATGTGTTAAATATATTAAAACTAATTAATTTTTTTTTATCTAAATATATCAATGTATCAATATGAACTTTAAATTTAAAATGAAATTATTCATTACATATCTCTTCACTTCTGATAATTCTTAAAATTAAAGATTTATTTTTAATTGAAAACTTTAATATTTTTTGACTAACAAATTTAAAAAGATATTAAATATATAAATCAAACTCTTTTACATATTAATATTGCAAATCATTTAGAAAAGAATGCAATCTTAGTCCTTTTTACAATATAAACGAAAAGAATATTTTATGTATTTAATTTACATCAAAATGTAGATTGAAAGGTTTAATTATATTTATAATTCTATAATAATGATGCTATTACATTAGATGTAAAAAACAAAGAAAATTTTTAATTATCAAATTATTAATTACTATAGATTAAGCAAAATTTCATAATAAATCAATAAATTATTGTAGTTTAGACAAAACTGATTAAAAGAAGAAAAAATTAATGGACAATAATAATATTATGGATATGTATTGATATTAATTTAAAACAATTCTTTCTATATGAACAATATAGTTTTAAATAAAAAAGAATGAATAAGAATTCTTTGAATTTAAAATTTACAATAAAGTGTGAGTATATAAGAATAGAAAAAATGGTTATTAATATAATAATTTATTTAATATGGATCCAAGGTCTTAAAATAATTCTGAGAATTAAATTCATGGTGACGATAATGAAGATTAACGTTCAGGAGATGAAGCAGTATTTAATATATTAAGTTTAAGGATAAGTTAAATAATTTCAAGCACAATATTAATGAGGGTGGTGAAGTAATCCACGAAAATGTTAAAAGAATTGATATGAAAAAAACATTAAATGATACTACCTTCATTTTGACATGCTTAAAAAATCATTTTGTATTTTACAATCTAAGTGAAGCAGAACTGTAAATTTATTTTGATGTTTTTATAGTGAGAATATAGTAAACAAGATGTTCTATTGTGAAGCTGCTGCATAAACTTATATCTTCAAATAATAAGATCATGCAACATGCTTTTTTATATTATAGAGAGGAAGTTTAGAAGTTATAGTTAATGAAAAAGTAAATTTTCTGATTCAAAAATTTTAAGGCTAAAAGAGAATTAAAAACAGGTGATGGATTTGGTGAATTAGCTCTATTGTATAATGCTCCTCGTTCTGCATCAGTAAAATGCTTTGAAAATTGCAATCTATGGGGAATCGATAGAAATACTTTCAGAAGGGCTGTTGAAGAAATGATAACAAAAGAATACGAGGAAAACAGAAAGTTTATGGAAGTAGTTAGATTTTTCCGTAATTTAATAATAATAAACTTAGATAATTTAACAAATGAGTAGAAGGATGCAATTGCTGCAGTTTTAATTGTACAGAAATTTTATAAAAATTAAATTATTGTAAATGAAGGTGATCCTGGATCCTCATTTTATATTATCAAAGAAGTATATTGATTTTTAATTATATTTAGGGAACTGTTTCTGTTCTTAAAGGAAACAAAGAAGTTAGAAAATTATATAAAGGAGACTCATTT